GCATTATCTTAATATTTAATATAATATAAAGTTTTTCAGTACTTAGTATCAACATTTATGTATAGGTTTATATTTTGTAAAGCGACTTTATAAACCTTCCTCTTTTATTCAAAGAGTTGGCAATTCTAAGAGGTATGGAAATTCAAAGGACTGTACAGTTTACAATTTAAAACAAGAGAGAATGCTATAGTCGAGTCTCCGACTATCAGAAAGAAATTTTATAATTTTCTGGGAATCGGTAGAAATTGTGAAATAAAAATAATAAAAAAAGACAAAAAAAAAAAAAAGGTTTTCAAAAGTGTGGACCGTTTTGGGCGGACAGAGTAGGCGTGGCAAAATTTTTTTGGAAAGTCCATAGAAATTTGCTAGACTAATAAAAATATCAAAACATATTTCAAAAGTGTGGGCGTGGCAGTGTTTACAATATGTGAGAAAAGGCAACTTTTTGTTCATAACTTTTGAATTGTAACAGTTAAAAGTAATAGGACAATAAGATAGCGGTAGAAGAAATAGGGGAGTCGTTGCAATGGAATAATACATACATCTGACATTTAGCTTGCCCCCGGGTATATATGTATAAACACATTTTTTTAACAATTTATATATACATGTATGTATGTGTATTATCCTGCTACCTATATTCAAAGTGAATTTATTTATAACTTAAGTGACCTAAAAAGTATACAAGTTTTTAAGATAATACAAATATTCACTTCAGTCGCAATATTTAATTAAGCTAGGCAAGTGAAATACCTATAATCTATTTGAATTATTATTTGTATTATTTTTATTTACCTTCTTTTCAATAATCTATTAAATTGTTTATTTTTACTAAAGGTAATTTTTCAGCGTATTAGCCTTTGACCAAACAAGAAACTCAGTGCGAGTTATGTAGTCATCAATTTACATTTTTTTTGGAAGCTCGGTACTCAAACACGGCGAGCTAGTGCTGGCAAATTGCTGCCTGAACAACGGTAAACCTATTTCCAAAGTCATTTTTCAGGACAAAGGAACTAATTTCCTATGTATCACATTTTATTCAACCAACAATGTTAAAAAAAAGTATTATTCCTTTATCTAAACAAAAATATGTATTAAAACTTTGTGTTTCGAAACTAGAAAGTAGACAGTGGAATTTTTATTTACAAAATTTTACAACATGCAATTTTTGGAGGCTTTTGAACTATATAGTTTTATATAAGAAAAGCTGTTCTTTAGGAAGGTTTCTTACCGTCACAATTCCCCGTTTCTGCATTTAAGGTATATCCTGTGCCGCAGCTTTGTAAACGCTATATAGAATACGGGATGTAACAAAAGCAACATGTTATATAAGGATTGATATACCGTGCATATATATGATCCGATCGTGTTATCACATCTCTGAGTTGGAAGGCAATTGTGATTATTTATTGAACATTCATTTATATCTATGGAAAATAAAAAAAAAAAACTAACTATTTTTAGTTAAATGAAAAACGTACTTACCAACACACTTATTTAGTGTGGCATCCAAATGAAATCCAGCCAGGCAATTGCAGGAATAGCTTCCCACTGTGTTAATACATTCCTGATTACTAATGCCATGACAGTTGTTTAATATGTTATGTGAGCACTCGTCAATATCTGTACAGGTACCGTTTTTCAAACTGAACCCTCTATCACAAGATTGACCTTCAACACACTTACGATCGTTGCACTTGTAATCATCTATGTGAATAAAATTGATTTAAATTAAAAAATCTAAAATAATAAAATTTAAATATTGCTTTAGATGGGCTTTCCAACTTTACGTTAACCGATTTTTAGCTTTTACCCGTTACTCGTAGAGAAAATGGTTTGATTTCGAACCTATAAAGTATATATTTTCTTGAGGATCAATAACCGAGTCGATCTGGCTACGTCCGTCTGTCTGTCGATATGAACGCTGCGATCTCGGGCACTATAAAGGGTAAAAAGTTGAGATTAAGCATGCAGGTTTTAGTAACGTTTACGTTGTGCACCTTTATTTCACGCCCAATCTAACGTCAACATACCTTCCAAAACTGCCAGTCCCACATTTTTAACAAATGTTTAGATTTTTTTATTTAATTATTAGTATTGTAAATCGATTTCTCAATAAAATATTTGGCCACCCCCACTCTAACGCCGACAAGCCGTCCACAACTGCAACACTCACTCTATTAAAGATTGTCGTCTTAATGAAGAATCTTACCAATTTCTATCGATATGTTAAAAATATGTTTAAAAATCTCATCCCGCTCCCATCAGCGGAGTAACTGATAGTTGAGGAACTCTACTACATTTGAAACAGTCTTTAAAGTTACCTTTACATGCATCGTAATCACGCTCATAATGAAATCCTGGCGGACAGTCTTTTGCTTTCACAGTTAAGCAGTGGAATCCGCCATTCGTATTATGGCAGTATTGTGATGATTTGCAGTCATGAAGATTTTCCCGGCATTCATCAATGTCAATGCATTTGTTATCCAGCTTATCTAAATTGTACCCACTGGGACATATTTGGGTTTTCATCGGAGAGCATGTTACGTTGTTATTATCTAACACAAACCCGGGGTGGCACTTACATTGATATGCGTCAAAAGTGTTTTCGCATATGTGAGCACAAAGGTTTTCAATTTTCCCACATATGTCATCTACCAATAAGCAGAAATAAATACTATGATTTTAAACGATATACATATACTATTTACTTACCATCGCCGGTAAGGACAATAGTTACATTCATATCTTCTTCAGAATCAACTGATAATTTACCACCATCAGTAATTGAATTAGCCTTATCAATTTTGTCGATATCGGGCTTGTCGTTAAAGTCACCAGATCCGTAACAGCACGCTCGGTATGATTCAATTGAAAAAAGAAATGAAAATAATGGATCTTTGCAATTAGCATTACTCGCTTTAACTGCCAGTCCGATTTGACAAGAACGACAACATGTTGCGTAAGAACTAGATGTAACATTTCCTTCTCCTTCGCAGCGAGTACCGTCTAAGGCAGCCAGTCGACCTAGCTCACAATTTTGATGGTCCAGTTCTCGAGAACAGCAGACTTCAAGTGTAGAATGACAAAGTCCAAGCCAAAGCTGTGGGATTATTGTTGGGGCTATGTCCATATTTTTGCAGGAGGAGGTGGTACGCGCATGCCGAAGTCCATTTATACAACATTTTCTTATATAACCCGAAATGCTGTCTAAAAAAAAAAAGAAACGCTGAGTATTCCTAATCAGGATCGACAAGCGAATGGATATAGCCATGTTCGTCTTTCGGTTGCCGAAGCTTGCTTAATTTCTTGTTCCTATTAATCTTAACTAAATTTGATACAATAAATGTAAATAACTTAATAACTTAAAACCTTCATAACTTAAAAACTTAACTTAATAACTTAAATTAATAACTTAAAACCTTAATAACCTAATAACTTAATAAATTAATAACTTAATAACTTAATAACTTATTCACTTAATAACTTAATAATTTAATAACTTAATAACATAATACCTTAATATTTTAATAACTTCAGTTTAATACAAGTCGGAAAATTTGTACATAAACCGCAACGTTGCTTCAATTCATACAATTTATACGGAGCGGTCACGAGCTACGTATGTTCTTAATGTGAGGTAAACGCCAGTATACAAATTACTTACCACTAGACATTGTGGTTGTGATATGCTCCACAATGATCAAAAAACACATAAATGCACATAGTTTATAAAACATAACGGTTCCGGACAACTAATCCCGATAGAAACAAATTTAAATGAATATTTGCTTTAAATGAACAGGTCAGGCAATGAATGAGAAAATATAGAACGTTCGTGTGCATACGCTATCTGGAATTATCTCAATCACTTAGCACCGCACATATGCATGTTTATATATGCGTGTACATACATATGTACAAATATACAATTTTAGAACAAAACGCGTGTGGGGGCCAAGGCAAGTTTTTTTTACATTTGTGTAATTGTATTTAAACATAAGCTATTTGTTACACGTACGTAACAACATTGGATTTTTTACCATGATATATTGCTGTTATATTTTATTATATTGAAAATTTATTATATTGAAATTTGATCAATGTGATTATTAGGAACTAGCGAAAGGTAGAAGCAAGCATTTAAGATACATACATAAAATCCATATATACCATACAATATTTATACATATTTCGAACTGCCTTGGTCGATTTAACCATACCATAATGAAAAGCCAATTTAAAAAGCAATGGAAATCGCTATTGTCGCATTGCTCGACTCTAAGATACCTGTTACACAGATAAATGGTGACCGTGGGTAATAAAGACAAATAAAAATTGAAAATGAATTGAAGAGTTTCAACAAAAATAGGAATAAGAAGATCGATTGGGCTAAAACTTATTTAATTGGACCCATATCGGCTTAAAATAATTAGTTAAGGGTATATTTTTTGGGTGCTAAAATATGAAAATGTTTATTATGAGTATTATCTATCAAACAAAACCAATTGTGAAAACATTGTGGAAAGCAAGGATCTTATATTAACATTTAAACTCATTCGCCAAGCTTTATACAAATATTTAATTGTTTGAATATCTCAGACTGGTCAGGCAATGGCCAAAGTAACAAAGCCGAAATCCAAAGCTATTAACAACCTTTATTTTATTGTGGAAATTGCGGATAAAGGTCGTCATAAAGCAAAAGCTGAGTAACGGGTATCTGATAGTCGGTGAACTCGACTGTAGCGTTCTCTCCTGTTATACTTGCTATAATGGTAATGTTAAGGGAAATTCGATAACTGTTATTAAATTTACTACACAGACAAGTCTGATATTTTGTTACTTAAGACCTTTTATTTAAGTCCAATTTTTAAGACAAGAAACAAAATATCAAACTAAAATAAATTCGGCTGGTAAAGACCAAGACAACATATTGATACATTTATACATAATTGAATAAGCTTTGGCCATAAACAAAGCTTAAGCTTTTCCTCTAATATCTTACAAAAAAGCTCTGACCTGCATCAAAAAGCCTGTAAAAGAGATCTTAAACATACAAAATATCAGTATAAGTCTTTAAACGTCGGTAGATCTGGTGGACTGATTCCATAGACTAAATTGAATTATTATTTGTTATTTGGAATTATTAAATTTGTATGCAGTTATGATGCACTTCAGGAAAATATTTAATATAATTACGCAGTTCGTTTTCTTATTGAAGACTTTAAATGGAAACTTAAGTGTTCAACCAGTTTTTCAAACACTTGATGACTATGAATATACTCCGCAGAACTTAAAAAGTGAAAGTCAACTGGAGATTGTTTATGAATGGAAATATTTGGATTTCCAATACTCAACTTTCGTGCAACGACAACAATCTATTTTAAATGGGTAACGACACTTTACTTGCTTATAATAACAGTTTCCTAAAATTAAACATTAATTTGAAAATAATACAGAAACAAAATGTAGTTATGGGGAAAATAATGAATGAAAAAATCTGCTGATTACATTTAAAACGTTTGTATTGGAAAAGTAACAACATATTAAATTCTTGCTCTTAGCCGAAATTTCAGTCATAAAAGAAATCGGTAAGAAGAAAACTAATTAACGGTCTTATGAAACCATGTTTCCGAAAATTTTGGCAAAAAAAAAAAAAATTGGCAAAACAAATAATAAAACGAAAAAAATCATAACTGAGGACGTGGCGGTTTTGAGCGGTTTGTGGTCGTTAGAGTTGGCCTAATTCCTTTTTTGCCAAACATCCTTGTTGATTTCTGGCTTGAATATTTTGTTTACTTTTTCTTAAACTTTTAGTTTGCTTCGATTTCTCGACCCATTTCATCAGAAGGACCAATGTCGCTATACATAGCTTGGTGAAGGAAGTTTTGGTTTCTCCAATTAAATACTAAAATTCCACGTTGCTTCCATAGTAGGTTAGGTTGGTCAAGCGATTAGTTCATTCAAAAGAAAATAAGAACTTGACACCTTAGCCCACTGTGATGCCCAGTCTTGTAATAGCTCCTTGGGGTGGATGGAACTTCCCCAAGATTCCACAAATCGGAAACCAATTTTGTTGATAAATCTTGGAAACACGCTTCTTTAAGTAGGCGTGCTGTGCACTGCAAATGTTGTGAGTTTAACTGCATCTGACATTAGATGCAATTAATGTCCGATTGACCAACGCAAGATATAGACCTGGAATCAAGACAACGTTCACCTCCCTAGGAAATCAGGTTCCCGCTGATTTATTTAATATTGTCCATTTGATTTTCTCATCTCACGAACCAGGAAATTTGAATTAAATTGAAATTTGAAATATGAATTGAAAGATATCTTGGATGGATTCAGTGTGATTGGCTTCTGGGTCATACTGATGATCCAGTAGGACAAGATTCTTTGACACGTCTAAGTCTTGCTGTTTCTGTGGTGTTGACATGTTTCTGTGTGACATGGCTTAGTCATCATAGAATCAGTGCGGACTTGCGTTTCGCTCTCCTGCAACATCTTGTTCACTATGTGAACCCCACAAGACATATAACTCCTTCCGTTGTGTTCCTTCGTCAACGATCTCTCGTTTTAAGCAAAGTAGGACGGCCTTTAACTTTACTTGATAATAATTAAAAATGTCTAACAATACGCTCTGTCCGGATCGGACACTATCTAGCGAAGTCTAAACGTATCAAGATCCATGTTCTCTTTTATGATTATGATATTATTTAGCGTGGCTAAAGTTAAAAGAAAAAGACTTATGATATGTTCCCAGTTAGCCTGTCAACTAATTTTAATGCGAGAATGGTGACACAATCCGCTACTCTTACTCCAGAGGATCCTTGACATACATATGTAGATGTTTATGGAATTCGGTAGCATGACTATTTGTTTAAAATTGGAAGATATCTCGGCAAAATTTATGCGTAATACTAACATACTTGCCTTCAGTTTGCAGTCCAATCCCCTCCAAGAAATGTTTTAGCGGAACGACCGACCGACCGACGAATTGATAAAAGTCTTTGTCGAGAACCCTGAGTGAAGAAGTGAACCACCATATGTTATATTACATTAACTTAATGAACCCTAGGTCCAACTTCTTAAATTCAACACAAGCCATAAAATGGCATAAAATGCTTTCATCTGCTCTTATATGCTAAATTTATATAACAACAAGAGAGTACGCTATGGTCCAGCTCCTCGACTATCGGAGTGCGATAGTCCTGCCTAGTAGGAGTTTGAAAGAAAAATCGATACAATATGGCCACAAAAAAAGGTTCAAAAGTGTTTGCGTGACAGTTTCGTTTTTAAAAATTCAAAATACAAAAGATTATACCAGATTTAGATACAAATAGTTATGACCGGGCAATCGTAAAGGCTTTAGAATTCTCCGGCTTATATAATAGTCTCTTTGCGCTAATGTAATTTACTAATTATTTTAATATATTAATATTTACAGAGACTTTGTATCAAAAAATAATTTACCTTTAGGCATTGATGTCCATAATAACCGACTTTTTATTACAACTCCTCGTTGGAAGAATGGTGTGCCTGCTAGCTTAGGTACACTGCCGTTTCCTCCAAAGGAGTCAAGCCCAGCAATAAAGCCCTATCCAAACTGGGAGGCTCATGGAAACCCAAACAATCCTGACTGCTCAAAACTGATGTCCGTTTATCGAACAGCTGTAGATAGGTGTAATCGAATTTGGCTAATTGATTCTGGAGTTGTCAATGCTACAATAAACTTAAATCAGATCTGCCCACCAAAGATTGTTGTTTATGATCTTAAAAGTGACGAACTGATTTTTCGGTACAATTTGGAAGCATCTCATGTGAAGCAAGATTCGTTGTTCTCCAATATTGTTGTGGATATTGGAAAAGATTGCGATGATGCGCATGCTTTCGTATCAGATGTGTGGAGATTTGGTCTTGTTGTTTACAGTCTATCTAAAAACCGAAGCTGGCGTGTAACTAATTATAACTTTTATCCGGATCCAGTTGCATCCGATTTTAATGTTTACGGATTAAATTTTCAATGGCTGGATGGCGTTTTTGGAATGAGTATATATTACAATAAGAAAATAATGCAACGCGTTCTTTATTTTCATCCAATGGCAAGTTTCAAAGTGAGTATAATGATATTACAAGAAACAAACGATCCCATTGCTTTCATTATACTCTTGCAGAGATTATAGAGATTTCAGTCAGAAATTTTCACCGCAGTAAAGTAAACTTTATATATATTATGACCTAAATCAGTATAAACAGCGAATTTTGCCGTCTGTCAGTTTTTACGCAAATACACTTTTTTATTAATTTCAATATAGACATATATATTGAGATATGATTTAATTTTAACGTATTTTAACGTGTCTATACCCCGGTATTAATTCTTTTAAGCAAGGCTGTAGTTATCTTATTTCGTTTGTATTAAAATCACAAGAATCAAGAGATTATAGACAGTGACTTAAATGCCAAATCTGGGGTTACAGCATTCGCCAGAGGAATGATTTTAGGTTTAGGTTAGGTAATTCACTTAACCTCTCTGGTTTTTTTATCTTTATTTTATTTTATTTTTAAATGGGGGTCTGCAAATACGAAGTCATAAAATATAAATAATTTTCCAATCATAATTTAAATAGACCAATTATTTGCAGCTTCAAATATATTGTAGGGACCGAAAACGATTCTGTCTTACTGTTCCACTTTTATTAATGAAACTAGCAAGCCGTTTTACTCTACGATTATCTGATGTAATAGTAATTATAAAAATACTGATTTTTCATAAGTATTCCCTAAAAACATTTTTATAAAAATATTAATAAGTTCTTAATATTTCATCTAGGAATTTATGGTGCCTCTGAATCTCTTGTTAAATGAATCTGTGTGGCAAAGGAATTCTCAAGATTACGCCAAGTACTTCATTTCGATTGGTGACCGCGGGTACAATTCTCAATCCTCTACCTCAGGAGTAACAAGGAATGGCATTATGTTTTTTACCCAAGTTCATGAAGATGATATTGGATGCTGGGATACATCGAAACCATACACTCGAGCGCATTTGGGAAAATTGCTTAATTTGGAAAACTCAAATCTTATTCAATTCCCAAATGATTTAAAAGTAGACAACGAGGAAGAGCAAAGTGTGTGGCTTATAAGTAACCGACTACCAATCTATCTTTACAGCAATCTAGACTATGGAGAAGTAAATTTTAGAATTTTAAAGGCGAATGTAAATAAGATTATAGGCAATAGTATTTGTAATCCGGTTAATAGTTACATTAATAAATCAAAATCTGCTTTTATGTTAATAGAAGAAGGACAATGTTATTGAGAACTTTGTTAAATAAACTAATACACAAAAAAATCTTGAAAATATTTGAACTGCTTTGTGGATTTGGATGCGCATCAAATGTTAATCAGCTAGTCCGGAGATCGAGATATGCAAAATACAGAGCAGAAAATACCCTTTTTGTGATTGTTCACTTGTGCAACCTAAATATGGTAACATTTATTGTACTTGTGATTTGTGGGCATAAGGGTGGGTACATTTCTTTATGGCCATACATATAGAAATTGTGGGCCCAACAGCTTAATGCGGCTTGTGGGCGTTAGCAAATGTTTTCGTGTTATTGGCATATTGATATAAAGTGGCTAGATAGCACTATGTATAATCTTCTAAACAAACTTGCATAAGTTCGAACTCTTAAGCATTTCTAATTAATGTCTAATATCAGCTTTCTATCTTTTATAATTCTCAAAATCTCGAAAATTATACGGATGGACATAGCTAGATTAACTCGGCCAGCAATCCTGCTAGAAAATGTGTATTCTTTATAGGGCCAGCAATCCCTCAACCTACGTTCTACTTTTCAACCTTTCAGCAATGAACAGTGGGCTCGAACTCAAACGTGAATTCAAATGTTAAATTACTCGTAGAAGAAAAGGTTGCTACATTCGTTCAAAAAATAATGTAAAAGGCTCAATAGGATCAATACCCCAGTCAAACTGGCCATGTCCGTCAGTCCGTATGAACGCCTCGATCTCAGGAACTACAAGAGCTGAATGTTGAATTTAAACATGCTGCTTCCAGAGACATAGACGCAGCGCAAGTTTGTTTTCAAATTTGGCCACGCCCACACACCGCACAAAATTGCGACGCCAAAACTTTTGAATAATGTGATATTTTTTCATTTTCTAAACTTCTATAACTTAGCCAAAAACTTTTTGCCACACCCACTCCAACGCCCAAAACTGTTATTTTTTCCCCAATTTCTACCAATATTCCAAAAAAATTTTGCAATATCTCGTTCGCACTTCCACTAGCTGAGTAACGAGTATCTGATAGTCGGGAAATTGCCTATCTCTCTCTTGTTTTCATTTAATTTTAGCACAGGGCCTTTTGCAGGGCCTTCGCTGTAGCCAGTTCTGTTATATTGCCTTTGTAATCGTCTATATCGGTTATAATAATACTACTAATAATTTTAGTACTAAGCTGTAATAAAGTCCTAGTCTTGTAGTTACAGATTATTTGAAATTGAAGGCGTCTGTCACAGCCATACGATAGGATGAGAATGTTATAGTCTACGTATTTAATTATTTGCTCTAGTTTAAGATGCATTTTAAGCTGCATTTATTTATTGTAGCTTGGACATGGCTATGTTAATGTATCTTGTAATGTGTGGCAAACTTTTAACTGAAATAATAATTCCCAATGCCGAACTGACGTGATCGTCTCATAAAAAAAGGCTTCTGAGAAGCATAATGAAAGTTGGACGAACTTAGTTTAAAGATTAAAATAAAGCACGTTCGAAGATTACGCATTTTTAATTTTTTTTTTTTGATACATATAAGACACTGCGACTTATAATTTTAAAAATAATAAATAAAGTGATCCGTTCCAATTAAAGGGGCTCTCATCGATGTGCTCGTTTGTCGAGCAAAGATACTGATGTACGTATACGTATAAATTTACGAGTAAATATGTTGGTATTTGTGAAAATATCTGTATTTGTGTGTGAGTTTTAAATATACATTTCCTAAATGGCTGTATGCGAAAGAGCTGATAATCAAGTAAATAAGCATGTGGACAGTGTGGAAGCTATCTTTGATGTGCAATCATATTCTTGAAGGCGGGCGTATGAATTCATGTTCGTTCTATTGGTCTATACGGATTTTAGTTTTATTATTATCATTCATTAATTCGATACTACAGCATTCTTTGCAGTAAATATTTTAAATATTTTTTAAATAGGCAAGTAAAAGAAAATATTTCCTATATGTGTAAATTAATATTATGGATAAAATGTATGTGATCAAAGCAAAATTAACAATTGTGTATGGTTCATATTATGCATTACATAAGGACAACACCATCGTACTTTATTTGAGTGCGTCTATATATACATTCAGGATAAAATCCGATGTTTTATAACTATGTGAAGCAAATGCTTTACTAAAAATTACATATATAAATATATTCATATGTACGAAGGACCTGTCGGTGTTACTTTGATACGAGTAAATTTTTACGTACATATTGATCAATTATTAATTCCTACTTTTATTATTATTTTATAGATTGGTACAGAATTGAGAAATGGATTCTACCTTAAATATTGAGGTAAGTGAAAAAATTATGAATTGATTAATTCAAATTCAATATCAGCCTATAGTCAAACTATTAACATTGTCTGTCTAGATGTTTTTTACAAAACTTGAATTTATTCTGATCTTGATTACCACTTCTTTAATGTATAGCTTGGATTTGACAATATTTTTAAAGAGAAAGTAAAACAATTTAGTTATAATAACTAATGTAATTATTATGTGACTTAAAATTTTTAAATTTATTATTTTTTTGCCATAGTAATATTACTCGTTAATAAAAAAAATAAATTTTACATACGCATATTTTCTACAATCTTAAGGAGAAAGGAATTGATACACAAAATGGAAGCCAAAAAGTTAACGCTGATGTGATTAAAATTAATCCCCAAGATAACCTCAATGGAAAACAAATGGAATCTAACATTGACAGTTGTTTGGATAAATCCGTCACTCCAGATAATGAAAATGATGACGATCTAGAAATTGAAGGAAGCGATACTGAAGACTGCAATCCAGAAGACAAAAATTCAACAGATTTAGGAGAGATCCCAGCTACCCTAATTGATAAGCCGTGTTTAGATATTGGCTCATCAGATGCGGAGAGAACTCTTAAGATGGAATACTTAGAATCCAATGACCCCATTATTATAGATTCATCTATTAAGACGGACCCATCTATATCTGTGGAAAATTTGCACACCGTTTCTGAGAATAATTTAGAGCTCAATCTACTGCCATCTACTGGCAATACTAGCAATACTATTAGTGAAAACTCGTCGATTGCGGAAAAGTCATCAGCCGCACAAGATGGATCGAACATTCTAAATAAAGGCGAAGAAGATAATAGGACCAAAGTTTCTGTATCACAGGACAGCACTAAATCTTCTGCGGAAAAAGTATTTGTATTTTTAAAAATAAATCGCTTTCAAGCTTTTGAAGTTTTGCTTATTTAACTTTATATTTATACAGATATACAGATTTGAGTAATCAATCTTTAAAAAATTATTTATTACTTAAGTTGCCTGAACATTTTTATATTTTTAAAGAAATTCAAGAAAGTATTAGCAATAAACGACCTTGACTTCAAAATAATAACTATCCCGTTTACTCGGTAGAAGGAAACGAATGCGACTCTATAAAGTGTATATATTCTTGATATGGATCTTTAAGACTTGTTCTCGCCATGTCCATCAATCTGTCCGTATAAGCTTTAAGATAGGAGTTAGTATATTCATTCAAGCATCCTGATTCTAGGTCGCCTCATGCTCTAAACTGAAAACTCCACACTTTCGGAACTTTTTTTTAAATTAGCAGGAAATGTAAGTTGCTTTCGTACTTGCAGTCTCCAACACACTTTATTTAGCTGAGTTACGGGTATATTTTCTCTATTGCTTAAACCAACCAAGTACAAAGAACACAACGTTATTTAATTTTTTTGTTATGGCCAAAGTACAAAATCGCTCCTTAAATATTTGAAATCGTTGCAGCAACAAGACAAAAAATAATTTGATTTATTGGCTTTATAGTTAGTTATAGTTTTAGACTATATTTTAGCATGATAAAAATGTATTAAACGTTAGGGGAACGCTCAGTATATATTAGAAGCGCACTTTATTGTTGTAGCAGTCGTATTTTTGATGTAATTGTTTTATCAGATTAGGATCACAGTATTTACCTTTTTATGTAATTTTTAAATTTAATTTGTTAAGTTAACAAGTGTGCTATATGTTTCCATTAATTTATCCATCGAATAGTCAGGGTTTCAGAGTATCGACTTTTCAACAATTTGTAAGATGTATTAAGCAATTGAATGACAGTGAAAGAGTTACTAAAATGGTTGGGATGGGTTTTTTTCTGTCAAACTGGCTGGTTACGGCTCCTTGCACAGTGTTTTTCACTTGCATATGTTTAATATTATAATTGTTTTATTAATCATTACTTGATTTCATTGAAAACGATGTCCCATTATTTTAGCTGTACTTGATTATTCTTATTATATGCAGCTTGCTAAATAATACTTACTGTTTCGTTCATTTCAATTGGTGATTAATAAATTACTTTATTTGTAGAATGTCGATCTGATTGATCCCAGTGCATCTGATTTGACGTCCGAAAACACTAAAGCAGACGTTTCGATAAATGAATCTGTAAGTATGACCATAATTAGTTTCATAATGACTCTACCAGCATCAAATTCAAGTGTAATACAAAACATAAACACCCCTTCATATCATTTATTTGTGACTATGTAACATTCTGAAATAGCTTTGGTTAAATTTTCATGAGAAATAGCAAGTTGGGACAAAGTTTTTAAACTCGTTACTCGTAGAGTAAAAAGGTATACTAGATTCGTTGAAAAGAATGTAACAGAAAGCGTTTCCTATCATACATATAAAGTATGTATATATATTCTTGATCAGGATCAATACCCGAGTCGATATGGCCACGTCCGTCTGTCCGTCCGTCCGTCTGTATTACAGAAAATTAAAAAATTTTTCATTCGCACTTCCACTAGTTGAGTAACGGGAATCTAATAACCGGGGAACTCGACTATAGTATTCTATCTTGTTTCAATATTTGGGGCGCGACAGTTCTGCGCGGTTCGTGGTCGTTAGTGTGGCATCATCACGAAGAAACTTGGGATGCGTCTATGTCTCTGGAATCTGCCTGCTCAATTACGAACGAACAGACATCGACCCTTTACTCTCTATAAAAAGTCCGTTAGACTAAATAAATATATTTTTGTACTTTTAGAGTGCTATTGAACCTAAAAACAGCGTTGTATCGACACATAAGCCTGTAAGTAGCATAACCTCACACTGAAAAGGTAGCAATGATCGACTTTTACACAACGTACACCGATCGATATCGAAGCAATATCAGTTTGCAGATGACTATCGATAATATTTATCAGTATTCAGAAAAAGTTGATCATCTTTTGTTTTTTATCATATAATGTTCTAAGTATATTATTATTAATTGTGCTTTATTTCCCTTAAATTTGGTTTTGACACTAAAGCTTATATAGATATATAATGCGCTTTTCAACTGATTATTTTAAAGATTTTAAAGTATTCATAATAATTTTTTATATATTTTATGTTCTAAGTATATATATATAATTAAATTAGGTTACAGTTTTTCTGTGCCTTTTGTAATTTTTTAATTCCTTAAGTTTTTGTCTGCATATTTCCATTAGTTCGGAAAAATTCAGATGAAAGTACGATATTTATCCATCGAATAAAATGCTTCTAGGACAAGTGAAAATATGTATTAATCAATTAACTGTAAAGTTTCGGAAAAATTCAGATGAAAGTACGATATTTATCCATCGAATACACGGCCTTTTCTGGATGCTTGCTTTCTGGCAAGCTTTTTAAAATGCTTCTAGGACAAGTGAAAATATGTATTAATCAATTAACTGTAAATGAAAAATTATTAAAATGGTGATAATTGGCTGATGGTGATAATTGTGATAAATGGCACCCTTGATTTACAAAAGCACGGACTTATAGCGCGAATGCCTTGAATCGCAGCAATAAAGGTTATCCTTCAATATAAATTTTTAAATTTATATTTTTAAATATTTTGACGAACATTATACATTTATCCGTGCTCTTGTAAATCAAGGTTGTAATCATATTTGTTTTAATTGAAAAGTACACTAACCTTTGAAAAGCTTTAGAAGATTTTACGATTTACGACTTAGAAGACCATAAAATTTTGATTTTGCTGTGTATTTAATGACGAATATTGTTTATTAAAATCGGTCTGTTATCAACCGAAATAAGATATAACAGTAAGGGTTATTTGAAAATAAATGTTTCGTAGATATTTACAAATTGTACAGACACAACATTTACAGCACTTACACCCAAAAAGAATGAGGAGAAGAACTTGTGAGCGAGAAAAGTTCTAGTTTAAGTAAAGTTACTATAGGTAAGGTTATGAATGGCTTTGCATAGATATGTATGAAAACCAGCTATGATCTTTCGCCTATGCCAGTAAAATTCGGCAAATATAAGGCAACCTGGCTGGTTACGGCTCCTTGCACAGTGTTGTTCACTTGCATATGTTTAATATTATAATGGTTTTATTAATCATTTCTTGATTTCATTGAAAATGTTGACCTATTATTTTAGCTGTACTTGATTATTGTATACAGCTGGCTAAACATTACTCACTGTTTCATGCATATCATTAATTTCGATTGGTGATTAATAAATTACTTTATTTGTAGAATGTCGATGAACAAACAACAGCCAGTGCATCTGATTTGACGTCCGAAAACACTAAAGCAGACGTTTCAATAAATGAATCTGTAAGTATGACCATAATTAGTTTCATAATGACTCTACCAGCATCAAATTCAAGTGTAATACAAAACATAAACACCCCTTCATATCATTTATTTGTGACTATGTAGCATTCTGAAACATTAGAGCTTTGGTTAAATTTTCATGAGAAATAGCAAGTTGGGACAAAGTTTTTAAACTCGTTACTCGTAGAGTAAAAAGGTATACTAGATTCGTTGAAAAGAATGTAACAGAAAGCGTTTCCTATCATACATATAAAGTATGTATATATATTCTTGATCAGGATCAATACCCGAGTCGATATGGCCACGTCCGTCTGTCCGTCCGTCCGTCTGTATTACAGAAAATTAAAAAATTTTTCATTCGCACTTCCACTAGTTGAGTAACGGGAATCTAATATCCGGGGAACTCGACTATAGCATTCTATCTTGTTTCAATATTTGGGGCGTGACAGTTCTGCGCGGTTCGTGGTCGTTAGTGTGGCATCATCACGAAGCAACTTGGGATGCGTCTATGTCTCTGGAATCTGCCTGCTTAATTACGAATGAACAGACATCGACCTTTTACTCTCTATAAAAAGTCCGTTAGACTAAATAAATATATTTTTGTACTTTTAGAGTGCTATTGAACCTACAATCATTACATCTAATTCGACGATCGAAAACACTAAAAACAGCGTTGTATCGACACATAAGCATGTAAGTAGCATAACCTCATACTGAAAAGCTAGCAATGATCGACTTTTACTCAACGTACACCGATCGATATCGAAGCAATATCAGTTTGCAAATGACTATCGATAATATCTATCGGTATTCAGAAAAAGTTGATAATCTTTCGTTGTTTTTTATCATATAATGTTCTAAGTATAGACTAAATAAATATATTTTTGTACTTTTAGAGTGCTATTGAACCTACAATCATTACATCTAATTCGACGATCGAAAACACTAAAAACAGCGTTGTATCGACACATAAGCCTGTAAGTAGCATAACCTCACACTGAAAAGCTAGCAATGATCGACTTTTACTCAACGTACACCGATCGATATCGAAGCAATATCAGTTTGCAGATGACTATCGATAATATTTATCGGTATTCAGAAAAAGTTGATCATCTTTCGTTGTTTTTTATCTTATAATGTTCTAAGTATATTATTATTATTATTAATTGTGCTTTATTTTCCTTAAATTTGGTTTTGACACTAAAGCTTATGAAGTAAGATATATAATTTTTATACCGAGATTAGCATTATTGCGCTTTTCAACTGAATATTTTAAAGATTTTAAAGTATTCATAATAATTTTTTACATATTTTATGTGCTAGGTATATATATATAATTAAATTAAATTAGATTACAGTTTTTCTGTGCCATCTTTTGTAATTTTTTTAATTCCTTAAGTTTTTGTCTGCACATTTCCATTAGTTGTGAGTTTCGGAAAAATTCAGAAGAAAGTTCATAACGATATTTATCCATCGAATATACGGCCTTTTCTGGATGCTTGCTTTCTGGCAAGCTTTTTAAAATGCTTCTAGGACAAGTGAAAATATGTATTAATCAATTAATGGTAAATGAAAAATTATTAAAATGGTGATAATTTGCTGATGGTGATAATTGTGATAAATGGCACCCTTGATTTACAAAAGCACGGACTTATAGCGCGAATGCCTTGAATCGCAGCAATAAAGGTTATCCTTCAATATAAATTTTTAAATTTATATTTTTAAATATTTTGACGAACATTATACATTTATCCGTGCTCTTGTAAATCAAGGTTGTAATCATATTTGTTTTAATTGAAAAGTACACTAACCTTTGAAAAGCTTTAGAAGTATTTTACGATTTACGACTTAGAAGACAATAAAATTTTGATTTTGCTGTGTATTTAATGACGAATATTGTTTATTAAAATCGGTCAATATTCGTTATCAAACAGACCGATTTTTATAAACAATATTCGTCATTAAATACACAGCAAAATCAAAATTTTATTGTCTTCTAAGTCGTAAATCGTAAAATACTTCTAAAGCTTTTCAAAGGTTTTCGGTTGATACCGAAATCAGATATAACAGTAAGGGTTATTTGAAAATAAATGTTTCGTAGATATTCACAAATTGTACAGACACAACATTTACAACACTTACACCCAAAAAAAATGAGAAGAACTTGTGAGCGAGAAAAGTTCTAGTTTAAGTAAAGTTACTATAGGTAAGGTTATGAATGGCTTTGCATGGATATGTATGAAAACCAGCTATAATCTTTCGCCTCTGCCAGTAAAATTCGGCAAATATAAGGCAACCTGGCTGGTTACGGCTCCTTGCACAGTGTTGTTCACTTGCATATGTTTAATATTATAATGGTTTTATCAATCATTTCTTGATTTCATTGAAAATGTTGACCTATTATTTTAGCTGTACTTGATTGTTGTATACAGCTGGCTAAACATTACTCACTGTTTCATGCATATCATTAATTTCAATTGGTGATTAATAAATTACTTTATTTGTAGAATGTCAATGAACAAACAACACCCAGTGCATCTGATTTGACGTCCGAAAACACTAAAGCAGACGTTTCAATAAATGAATCTGTTAGTATGACCATAATTATTTTAATAATGATGCACCAAATTCAGGTGTAATTGATACAAAATATTAACAACACTTTCATATCATTTATTTGTGCCTATGTAGCATTCTGAAATATTAGAGCTTTGGGTAAATTTTCATGAGAAATAGCAAGTTAGCCCCCTTTAATAGCACAAAACGGACACCCCCACACTATTGAAAAATGTGATATTCTTTTATTTTGTGTTTAGTATTGTACATTTCTATCGATTTACCAACCATATTTTTGCTATGCCCACAAGCCGGCCAAAACAGTCACTGCCACACTTTTGAGAAAATTTTAATTTTATTTTTATTGTATTATTGTTTATTCAATTTCTAGAAAATGTCTGCATTTCTCGTTCGCACTTCGATTAGCTGAGTAGCGGGTATCTGATAGTCGGGGAACTCGATTTATATGATTTAGTGGTCCGATCCGTCTTAAAAGCCACCTGTACAAGAAAGAAGACTGTTGGGAAACTTTTATCTAGATAGCCTTAAAACTGAGAGACTAGGATGGACGGACTTATATACCCCCGGCAGTCGATATTGATTAGAAATATATAAACAGTAGAATCCGGTTATAGCGACTTTCAAGGGACCTATGTCGTCATACCCGGAAGATGCACTAACAGAAAAATGGAACAAAACATTTTACTTGTTTATTTTATTGTTGCCATGTTCGTAATATGTTTTAACATAAAAAAAAATAATTTTTGAATCAAACAAAAAATTTAATAAATTTAATTTAATAACATAAGTTTTTCATAGGCTCGCATTTTTCTTCGACGGAGAAGCACTTTCGTTTTAAAACCATTTTATGGGCCTAATGCGCAAGTGTCGAGCTTAAACTGAATGAGCTCATCATGCGCATTTAGAGCATTAACTAACATTTGGCGAATTTACGCATTAAGTTTTATTGGAAAAAAGGTGAAAAAAACTAGAAATATAACGGGACATCTTATGGAATATAGGCATGAGGTCTGCACACGCACGCTGTAAACATTTTTGAGATTTTTTGTATTTTTTTTTATTATTTTAAATAATTACTGTAAATTATTGTAAATATTTTTATGTATTTTTTTTTTGGCACGTCGCAATATCCGGTTGAATTATGAAAAATCTCGTTGATATAAGCGGTATGTCCCTAAAAGCGGAGATGTACTAACCGGAGGTCCTTTCATATAACTTTGTATGGGGACCAACCAAGACATCGAGTTTCCGTCGCAATAACCGGACTGACGCTATAGGCGGAGTCGTTATAACCGGATTTTACTGTACTTTACTCTTATTAACTTTTGGCTGCCGACTTAATCAACTTTCCAATTTCTTAAATATGTTAGAAAGCTTTGTTATCCGAATTAGCAAACAAGTGGTCGAGAATCATATACACAATAAAATAATTTTTCAATTTCTCAATTATTACATAGCAAAACGATTTTAATAACCAAATTCTGGACATTATATCGGATATAGATATAAATATAAAAGCACAGGAAAAAATAACGCAGCTGAAGGAGCAAGAACTGAAACTCATTCAGAAACAGAACGATTTGGCAAATGAAATCCATAAGCAGCAGATCCTAGCTAAACAGCTCAGTGCACAAAATCAGCGTATACAAAAGGATTGTAAAAGAGAAGAGCTTGACTTACAAAGCCAATATGAAAATGAGCGCGGTGGATCCACCTCGACACTGTATCAGAAAAATACCACCAGTAACGTAAGTATAGTACTATAAGGAATTTTATTCACCTGTCTAAAACATTAATATGTTTTAACATTATTTATTTTGTAATCTAAATATTTGGTAACATTTTAGAAGAAACATAGAAATATTTGTCAGGCGAGTAACGGACCTCTGATAACTGAACTATAGTTACCTTCCTTCCTGCTTCAAAATAACGGGTTTAAACTATATAAATTTGTTTAATATGAAGCAGGAATAAATTGTTAAGAAACCAGTAGTTTCAAGTTTTGTATGGAGTCATCTATGTTCTTAGTAATATTGATAATTCGAAATACATTGATACGTGACCGATATCCTTTTTTGTACTTTACCTAATTCGTTCCATTTGATGTTAGGAACTGGTTGGATTTAGCCAGCTGAGGGTGATCAAAGAAGTACGATGATAAGTAAGTTAGATGATAAGTCAGACTCTCTAAGTCAGACACAAAATCGGCACAGATTGTAATAATGCCCATCGCTGTAGCTGGCTTGCTTAGTACATTACAAGATGATTTCGTTTTATACGTTTTTTTTTTACCAGAACCACCATGGGCTTTGCCGCCTGTCCAATAAAATATTTATGTAAAATGTATTCTTAAAAATAGAAGAGTCATACCTTACCGCTGACTTTATTAATGAGTTTGTAGTTCAATGATCAATGGTCAATGATAATCCAGACGTATATGGGGTTTTTATATGCCAATGTAGTTTCTGACAAAATTTTATGAAACAAGAAACATAGAAGTTATAGTGCATTTTTATTACCAGTTGCTCGTAGAGTAAAAGGGTATACTAAATTCGTTAAAAAATATATTGAATGGTAGAAGGAAGCGTTACCGACCCTATAAAGTATATATGTATATTCTAGGTCAGAATCACTAACCGAGTCGATCTGACCAAGCCCGTGTCTGTCCGTCCGTATGAACGTCGGGATCTCAGGAACTAAAGAAGCTTGAAAGATTAAGCATGTAGGATTTTAAAGACAGAAAAGTTTGTTTCCTGACAAACTACCTTTGAAAAATGTTTTGATTTTTTGCTTTTTAGTATTTGTCTTGCCTATATATATCGGTACACCATAAATATTTTGACCAGGCCCCTTCTATGGCCCGCAAACCGTCCAACGCCGCCAATACATCAGATAATGATCGAAGGGAAAGCCGAGAAACTAAAATTTGTTTGTTCACTTACTTGCGGGCATTGTACATACAAATTATATATATGTATGTACATATAAACGCTCTTTGAGGCACATGCCCAAAGAGATTCTATATTTAGCATTTTCATTTCGAGCGCTCACATTACGCTTTATAAGTGTGCGAGTTGTATTGTATATGTATTGACATATACATTTGTATTTGAAGATGTGTTTATTTATTTAAATTCACTTTGTGGTTATGAACTTTAATGAACACAGACTTCAATACATTTTATTACTATTACATTGAAATAAATAAAATAAAATTAAATAAAATATACTAGTTGTACACAAAAATATGAATTGCATAGTAAAGAAAAAAAGGGGCTATCGCCCAAGTGATCTTATCGATCCTTGTAAACGTCAAATTCTATTAAACCTCAGTAAGCAGCTTTGGCGGAAAAAGAAACTACTGTAATTCCTTCCAAAATTTGGTGTTAATCTGCATTTGCTTCCATTTCCTCAAAAAAAGATTAAAATAAATTATGCGAATTAAGTGCATACATATGTATTATGTAGCTCCTTAATCATTAAAAAAAAGTAATTATCGAAATATAAATATATAATGGTCGCAGAATGAGCAGATATATCAGAGTTTAAATTTAATTAATTATTTAGGAATCCACTAATGTGTCGAAGACGGTCGATTTGCGAAAAATATTTACACCTGCGACCGACGCTGCTGAAATATTACCGAAAAATCGTAAGTATTATGATATGATATGAACTTATTTATAAGAAAAGGTGATACGTAAGAGTCGTACTATAGTACATTTACTTTGGCTATCTAATGAACTGACTAATTTGCGCCTATTTAAATATGCATTTCTTTAAGCTTAAAACATTAAAATCGCTTGCTACAAATACGCTTGTGCAATTTCTTTACGTATCGCCTTTTAAGAAAATTTTTAATGAAAACATGTTAAGATCAATATTAAACTTATTTAAAATAGGAAAGCTATATGCCTCGTCTGCATTTTATTCTCCAACACTACACCCTACAGTGGAAGACCAAGTCGAGCTAGCAAGAAGAATTTCACATTCATTAAGCGATATCAGTAACCAAACTTCTAAGGGTCAGTCAATGTATGTCAATCGCAAAAAACGCTCAGACAATTGGGTTCATGAAGGTAGATCTCAAGGTAATTGTTTTTTTTTCAATCTTTTTTTGTCAGTTATGTTGTTAATCAATTCTTGTTCTCACAATTGTATTATTATTACACTGATTGCAAGTTTAAGTACAGTGGCCACAAGAAATCCTTATTAGTATAAAACTGAACAATCACAGGAATCCCATTTCATTTTGAATTGCCATTGCATGTAGAGTTTTTCCTAAGAACTTTTATATTTTAAAAAAATAAGCACATTAATAAAATGGCTTAACTAGGTTTAACAGAAATTCAGTTGCTTGGTTGAATGTGTTATACGTTAAATTAAACTGAATTTATTAGTATATTTAGATTTTTTTTAACAATATAATTTCCCACCCAACAGTAACGCACGTTCATTGCGTTCTAAATTGATAGTTTTCTAGTACGATACTAATTTTTCGTTCAAAGACGAAAAATGTATACGCTCCTTATGAAAAATAAGAAACATAAAAGGAAAAATGGTAAAAATATTGAATCTCCACTGGTTTTTTTATATGTAATAGGTTGGCAAATATCTCCCTTCCGCTTTTATGCTCTTTATCCAATGCTTTATAAAAAGTGTTACAGTGATCGGATTTAGTTCAAATATGCGCCGTTTTGTTCGATAATCTGTTTCCATCTAGACGGCAACTTCATAATACCTCCCTCGTAGAAGCCCCCCTCCTTATTTGCGAGGAACTCGGACAGCCACTTTTCACAAGCCTCTTTTGAGTTTAACTTTACACCACCAAGGGCATTCGCCATGGACAGGAACAGGTGGTAATCACTTGGCGCTATGTCCGGGCTATATCCGAGCTCCCGTAGCTTCTGACGAGTCATCAACGAAGTGTGTTGTCTGGCGTTGTCCTGGTGGAACACTACACCCTTCCTGTTGGCCAATTCTGGACGCTTCTGGTCGATCGCCTGCTTCAATCGGTCCAGTTGTTCGCAGTAGATGGTAGAATTAAGCATCTGGCCATATGGGAGCAGCTCATAGTGGATGATTTCCTTCCAATCCCACCAAACACACAGCAAAACCTTCCTGGCCGTCAATCCCGGCTTGGCCACTGTTTGGGACGACTCACCGGCCTTCGACCACGACCGTTTTCGCTTGATATTGTCGTATGTGATCCATTTTTCGTCGCCAGTCACCATCCGCTTCAAGAATGGGTCGAGTTCGTTCCGTTTCAGCAGCATATCGCAGGCGTTGATTCGGTCCAGAAGGTTTTTTTGCGTCAAATCATGCGGCACCCAAACATCAAGCTTTTTTTTGTATCCAGCCTTCTGCAGATGGTTTAAAATGGTTTGGTGACTAACTTCCATCTCCTGGGCGATGTCACGAGATGCCACATGCCGGTCTAACTCGATGTATTCCATGATTTGATCGGTATTTGTCGTCACAGGTCTTCCGCCGGCTGGCTTATCCATGGTGTCGTTTTCACCGGCTCTGAATCGTCGAAACCATTCCTCCGCGGTTCGAAGTGATAGAGTACCATCCCCCAAAACACCATTAATCTCACGCAACGTTTCTCTGGCGGATTTGCCTTTAACGAAGGAAAACTTTAAAATAGCGCGAATTTCGGCGTTAGTGAACTCCATGTTTACACGTCTATAACTGTTGAACGCAATATCCAAACTAATCATGCATAGCGTCGTTTTGTAGGTTATGTCAAGACCTTTCAAATTATGTATAGTATTGCCAGATATGAGCTGTAGCGCTTTGTACATAGCCTCAAAATTCAAAAGACAAAAAGGCGGAAGGGAGATATTTGTCAAACTAATATAAGCATTTGTATATTAAACGAAATCTCTTCTGAACTTGATAAAAAAAAAAAAATAGGTGACGATTGCACCTTCGACATCAGTGGTATTTTCACAAAAAACGTTAATTAACCTAGTATTTTATAACGACATACATATGTATATATGAGCAATTCTTTAACATAAATATTTTTATTTATAATTTTTTCTAACTCGCGGGGTTATCCAAGGGGGAAGAAGTCACGTTTCTAATATGGAGCTGTTTGATAAAAGCAAAATAAGTTCATACAAAAATAGGGATGGGAAAAAACAAAATCCAACTTACAGTTTCGGATGAAAAGCAAAGGTTTATAGTTAATAATAAATTTAAAAGTTTCTAATATATGGGCTAATGTTGTTCGATATTTCCAAATTGGGCGTACAGACCTTGCAGAAAACATATATTAAAAGAATGAAAATTATGTATACCAATTAGAACATTTTATGATCAAGAACATTTTTTTTTTTTGTCGATTATTCCTAGGCATATCGCTATATAGTTATGTCCGTCCGTTCACAGAAAACTAGTCTCTTTGCATGAAAAGTAAATCTCTCAAAAATAGCCCAAAGGGGTTCTCTCTATTGCAAGTAGTATATAAGTCAATAAGAGGCGAATAAGCGGTCTGTTATCATATAGGTGCCTAGGATAGGATAGGTGCCTAACATAGCTATATCGCACTATTGGAAATTTACTGACTTTTTCTGGCCAAAAACCCACGTTCTGAATGTCAGAATATTCATATATTCATAATTAATAATCTTTAGTGGTGCATACCAGAAATTATAATAAATAGATTGTCCCCCGTTACAAAAGCTTTAATATCTTTGGAACAAAGGCATTACTTCTCATTCTGTAAAGGACATTTTAATCAGTGCGCCTGTTTTAAGTGTATTTGATTGTCAAGAGCAATATAAAATATAAGATGTCTTACAAAAGCATATTTAATGACGTAACTTGACGAATGTGAGACCAGCAGAGTCCATCAATAATATAACATAATGTTTTAGATTATTTAATTCTTGTTTAGATAATTGTTATAAAAAACAGATTTTTTAACGATTTTTTGAGAAATAATAATTTGTAGAACTTAACTATTATTTTTCAAATTCGAGTAATCATTTTTTTTTTGTCGATTATTCCTAGGCATATTGCTATATAGTTATGTCCGTCCGTTCACAGAAAACTAGTCTCTTTGCATGAAAAGTAAATCTCTCAAAAATAGCCCAAAGGGGTTTTCTCTATTGCAAGTAGTATATAAGTCAATAAGAGGCGAATAAGCGGTCTGTTATTATTAGGTTGTTAGCTTATGTAAAATAATTTAATGTACAAAAACTATCAAGAAATCAGTTGCTTTTTGCTTAGTTTATAAAAAACAAACCAAATTTAAGAGCCTATACGAAAATGAGATAGAATGCTATAGTCGAGTTCCCTGACTATCAGATTTACGGCTATCTGCTAGTGGAATGCTAACGAGAAATTTCAAAATTTTCTGGAATATCGGTAAAAATTGGGGAAAAAATAATAAAATGAAAAATAACTTAAACATTTTTTAAAAGTGTGGGCGTGACAGCTTTTGGCGGTTTGTGGGCGTTGGATTGGGCAAAAAGTTTTGTTCGCAAATCTATAGAAATTTTCAAGATATATAAGAAAATTAAAAATATCACAAAATTTTCTAAAGGTTGGGCGTAACAGTTTTGGGCGGTTTGTGGGCGTTAGAGGCAAAAAGTTTTTTGGCTAACTTATAAAAATGTACAAGATACATAATGAACAAATTTCACGATTTTCAAGTGTAAGATCGAGGCGTTCATACGGACATGGGCTGCTCAACTCGGGTATTGATCGTGATCAAGAATATATATACTTTTTATGGACGGAAACGCTTTCTAAAATACACTCAGTTCTCTAAGGGATTTTAATCAGTACGAAAAATGTAAGTTTTGTATGGATCTGTACCATTGGAAAAATTCAGCAGAAAGAATATTTCGATACACAATTGCCTTCATAAGATAAATGCTTAAGATGACCAAAGCATTAATCTCGGGATCAGTTTTAATAAATGTGCAATGTCTTAATTATTTAAAAAGGTTAAACAATTATCAGATTTTACAGTTGTAATGCTCAGCTGAACGTGATTTCTGTACAGGAAGTACAAATACCTAACACCAGTATGCATACACTTGAAATGGCGTACCCAGATACATATGTGAATTATGAATAATATATTGAATAACTCATTCGATAGCCAAAAATTAAACATACGAACGGTTTCAAAAATGTACAGAATCAGTTTGCCTGCCAATGGCCTTAAAAAATTTAAACAAAGTAGTTTGCTTTTGTGTAACGGAATTCATATAGAAGTTGAAGGTTGTGGCAATAAAAGGAAATAAAAAATATCTACCGTAGATTTATATCGATTTTACATTTCTATTTAATTTTTTTGAGAATTATTAAAATATTCGTATCATAATTACCATTTTTATTTAAGCTTAAGTTTAAATACTTTTTGCTTTCCATGTATCAACGCAAAAGACTTCTAGTTAAATGCAACTAGAATTAAAAAAATGGAAGCAACTAAATAAATCTAAATTTTCAGATTTTTAGCTAAATAATTGCTAAGCTTCATATCTAAAAGTATTATATTTTAATCTTATTCAAAATTTCTAGTTGACAACATAATTTTAAGTCTTGCTTCAACGCAAGTAAGATAATAGTAAGATAATAACAGATAAGATCTATTAAGTTATAATTTTTAAGTATATACATAAACAATCATTTACATATCCAGGGAATGATGCTATAAATCCATATAAAGAAAATTCTGAAACAAATTCCACAATGGAACTTACAAAGCTGGAAAAAATACCGCTAAAGCTTATAATGAACCCAAATGGAAGAGTGCGTGATTATAATTCGCTAAAAGAATTGATTAACGTTGACGCTGGCCTTTTATCGCCTGACAATTGCGCTGAACTAATAACTGCACTTCAGCTTCATCAAGGACGAGGTAAATTTATAAAATTTAGATATGATTTGTGAAGTGATTTTATTAAGGGGAACAAAATTATTTACAGCAACTAGAGGAAACTATTTCACTTACTACATTCCTACATTTTTAATGTTAATGTTCACTCGAATTAAATTTTCAACTTTGTATATACAAAGAAATCCTTTATCGTAGTGATAATCGCAATTGCACCGCAATTAGTCGGTATTGTTGCTAACTATCAGACGCTTGACCGCAATATGTAGATATAACTAGAGGACGTAATTTATATAGTCAGTTTCTTGAATTTTTATTGGAATATGTGACTTTAGTGTAAGCCGCTCGTAAGCTGTTATTTTTATCTCATGATATAACTAGAGTCCTTAAAAGTGCTTCGAGTTTGAAAACTAAATATAACCAAGACATGTATAACTTTTTTAAATAATATTATTTGAAAATATTATTTGTTGTAAAACGGAATTAAAATCAAGCTAAATAAATAATTTAAAATTCGTTTGCCTTGCTTTATAACTGATGCTTCCTCCGCTGCTCCTGCCGCCATTTCGACGACGCCGCTGCCAACACCTTCAACTTGACTACAACTAACTTCATAAAATATAAAGGTGCCGAACTTTTTGCGAAGCGCCGCAGAAAAGCTGATAATTGGATAGTCGATGAATCCCATTCAGGGACTCAATATCATCCATCTGGTATTCCAGATTTCCTGCAGTATCATCAAAGGCCAGTTGTAAGCCCAAACATTTTGCCGGCGTATTCTGATGCTGGGAAGCATCGCGTCCAATTGAATATTCATCAAAATCAGCTAATTGAGAGGTATTCAAAACCAGGACTGCAGGTCGTTCAGTCTCCTTGGAAAGCAGCTTTGCAAACTGGTTCAGCGAGCTCAGCGTTTCTAGAGGATTCTAAGGGGCAATGTTTGGCACCTCCTGCCTTATCACCAATTCCGTATTCCCAAACTTGTTTTAAGGACTCGACGGACGCTATCGAGCCGGTTGGTTCTCCGAGACACCATGCAAATGTATGAGTCTTCCAATTCATGTACCTAAATAATAGAATCTAATCACAGGCCATTGCTTCTTCACCACGATCAGTCAATGTACCTTCGAATCCACAGAGGGATCTTGCTTATACACCATGCGTTGCGCAGGGCTGGGGAGGCCGAAATGTGGAACTACCGAAAGGTTAGTAAAATTCTTTCATATTTTGAATAATGTTTCATACTTTTGTAAGTCCATGAATAGCTGCTGAAGACCTGAGTACTGAGGTGTATTGAATTGTGCATAATTGTGTTTCATAACGCAAAATTGAACTGGCTTCAAAAGAGGTCAAAAAACGTGACTGATAATTTTTCTCAAATATAATTATAAATATAAGTATATCAAACAAAAATACCTCTTACCGAAGTACGATATCACTTTTATCTTACTGTTGAGAGGTGTTTTTGCTTGGAATCAGAAGACTTTAAGACGACATTGGTTAGTTTTGATTTTAGCATAGCTCTATGCCATAAATAAAAGCCGTTTTATATATAACAGCTATTGAAGAACTATTTATGTTTAATAAATGGGCATTATAGGCGTTGGTGTGAGCGTGACAATGGCATTTGCACATCTGGCGTGGCAATGTTCTGAAATAAACTTGCACAGCTGCATTACTTTAAATGATTAGCTTTTATAGTTCCCGAGATCTCGACGTTCATAAGGGCAGACAGATAGGTTGTTATCGTGATCGAGAAGATATGTACTTTAGAGAGTCGGAAACGGTACCTTTTGCCTTTTCGATACTTTTAAAAAAATCTATTATAACCTTTCACTATAAAACCTTTTACATAGTTGGTGGGGCGTCTAAAGAAACGTCTATCATCAATAAAACGTTGCCTGATCCAAATAGACAAATAGTATAGAGGTATAACATATTTATCAAGTGCAAATTCATTGTTAAAAGATTTTTGTATCAAAAAACAACTAATCAAACATGCATAGAATATTCTCAGGTACGGCACGGACTATATGCGTACCCCTAGCATGGAAACCCTTTTTTATTGCTGACACTTCAACAAAAAAAATGAAGAAACGCAATGCTAAGGATAAGTAACAGGACTGTAAGATATTCTTAATTTGTTGAAAACCTAATAGCTGATTAGCCCTATAACAATAGGCGGAATTCAAAATTGTTTTTTTTTTTTAGGAATTGATTTTTGGTGCTTATTTTGAACGACGAATTATACTAGCATCTTTTACTATGCACTTTTGTGTAATTGAAAATATGAAGCCTCAGGGCATAGCTGTGAGTGCTAAAATACAGTGTATAGGGAGTTTAGTATGTATATAAATAAAGAAACTTAAATCTTCATCATTGTCTCAAAATATTTAATCGCACAATATATATCGTATGTATGTAAATCCCTTTAATTCTTAGTTCTCAAGTCTTGCAAAGCTAAATAGCTTCAAGGATTCCATTTGTTATTTTCTTTAGTATACAATTATTACAAACTCTTTTCAATGTTAAGAAAGTAAATCATAGTACTAATATTTCAGACTCTTTTCAATGTAACGAAAGTGAATCATCGTGGCAAACTCATGCCCAATTCGGGAGAGCAGATGACAGCAATTATAGCTTTAATAATAATGTATTTGGTGAGAGCCTGGCATCTAACTTTGCTTTTGATGTGCAGAATCGATTACATTCCCTCGAAAAATTTCAAAAACACTTTTTGGAATACCAGCGATATGAAATAGAAATTTTACGAAACAGGGAAGGTGCTCGTGAGTTACAGCCCGAGGCTTTTAAAAGCTTTAACTATTTAACGCCACAGAATGAATATAATGTGTTAAGCGGCGAAGAATTAAAAGTCAATTGCGACTTAGATGAGAAGGTAAATGTGCGTGAACTAATTCAATCTTTTGAGAAACAAAATGCAACGAAACTAAGACATGCCGCTGCACCAATAGAAGGCAATGAAGGCAAGGTTAACATTTTTTCTGTGTCATGTTTTTGTGTACATGTATGCATATGAAAAATGTTAAATAACAAATTGTTTATACTTTTAAGAAATGCACGTTACTGATAGATAAAATGCTCGATCGAAGTTATAACCCTGTGTAAACGAACATACATATATTACATTTTATTCTCTATAAAGGGACATGTCGTTATTAATGATATATTTACACACTACACCTGCAATACAATAGTCAATGAGCCTTGGGAACCTAGAAATTTACAAATTTTTAAGTAAGAGCCATTGGTATTAAATTTATAATACATATATATGTAAATCCGTGTCAGTCCTGGTTTAAATTTATAAACATATTCATGTAACAGTTTTCTCTTTTTTTTTCCCCAGGCTTATACGTTCCGAAAGAAATATCTCTCTCTTGCTATGCAGCACCTTCACAACAGTGCGAAGGGCACGCGAAACATTTTGAGCGGTCATACGACGACACTTCTTCGTACACGTTACCAAGGACCAACTTTTCTGCTAATAAAAATTCCTTTGGAAACACTGGTATAGGACAATTTCCTTCATCAAAGCCACTGACAACTGGATTTAATACTGGAACCCCACAGCAGCAGCCTACCTTACAGCCAAGCTATAAAAAAATTGTACCTGGGCTCGAAAAAGTTGCGTCTGGGGTCAACTTCAACCAGGAATTTTTACCCACTGAAAATTTGGCTAGGTATGAACAACCTGATAAGAGAAGCTTGACAAGTGGAAGTCCACAGTACCTAAATGCACTGCAAAACTCTCAAGTACGCAATTCAACGCCAATACCTTTTGAACCTTCTTTGAATGAACAGACTTCCTGGCCTCCGAAAGGCATACTAAAGGGAACCTCACTCTCTCCGCTGCCGAACCACGTTCAAACCTTTAACACATATGCCAGGGGTTGGGGATCCATACCAGTCAAGCAACAGTCCCATTCAAATCAATACACCCCACCATTAGCTGGAAACCTACCGTACTCCGATTTTTAGGTGTTGTTTTATCAACTAAGCAACTAAGCGATTTGCGACATATACCAATTACTTAAACGATTATAAAAAATATATTTAATGTGTTTGTTTATTTGTCTTTTAAAATTATAATGGTACTACATCGAAAAATATATGCAATTGTTTCACCTGCCATGATTTTTGATGTAAATATTATTTAGGGATGCTTAGGTGGTAAATGGCGTTAAATGATAGGCGGAGATTTTGTGCTCGTAGAGTTAAAGGGTATACTAGATTCGTTGAAAAAAAATGTAACATGTAGAAGGAAGCGTTTCCAACCATATAAAGTACATATGTACATAGGTATATTCTGAATCACGATCAGTAGCCAAGTCGATCTGGCCATGTACGTCTGCTCGTATGAACGCCTCGATTACAAGAACTATAAGAGCTATAAAGTTGAGACAAACCGCCAAAACTGCCACGCCCACAGTTTTAAAAAGTGTGTTGAAATTTGTATACCCGTTACTCGTAGAGTAACAGATGGTTTAAAATGGTTTGGTGACTAACTCCCATCTCCTGGGCGATGTCACGAGATGCCACATGCCGGTCTAACTCGATGTATTCCATGATTTGATCGGTATTTGTCGTCACAGGTCTTCCGCCGGCTGGCTTATCCATGGTGTCGTTTTCACCGGCTCTGAATCGTCGAAACCATTCCTCCGCGGTTCGAAGTGATAGAGTACCATCCCCCAAAACACCATTAATCTCACGGAACGTTTCTCTGGCGGATTTGCCTTTAACGAAGGAAAACTTTAAAATAGCGCGAATTTCGGCGTTAGTGAACTCCATGTTTACATGCTGCGTCTAAGTCTTTGAAAGCTGCGTACTTAATCTCAACATTCTAGCTTTTGTAGCTCCTGAGATCGAGGCGTTCATACGGACAGACGGACATGGCCAGATCGACTCGGCTATTGATCCTTATCAAGAATATACTCGTATATACTTTATTTGGTCGGAAACTCTTCCTTCTGCCTGTTACATACTTTTTAACGAATCTAGTATACCCCTTTGCTCTACGAGTACCGGGTATAATTATATTCATCAGACCCTACCAGACCTTGTTAAGGACTGAAAAGGTCTGCAGAGGGAGGACCCTCTTCCGATGCGAATTCAGTTAGGTTCGACATTTTTTTATTTAAAGGTTACAAGCTTGCTGTGAAAATTCTGTAGTGTTCTTCTCACTAGTCCTAATTTGACTTACTGTAATTAAGTATCGCTCTTGCCTTTAGACATGTGGTCCAGCGCCTCTTGCCGTTGATGTCCCGTTGGTGCCGCGTGATTGTCCGAGAGCTAAGTGGTTTCTGTTTGTCGACTACATATTATGGTTTATTGTTGTTGTGTGCAATGATGTTCTTGTAAAAACGAAAATTATTAAGGGGGAGAACCCAGTTCGCGGTGCTAACTTGTATATTGTTGGAAATTACCATTTGGGTGAATTATTTCTGGAGAAGAATAATTGACGATCGCTTTAATTTCATAATCGAAATAACTTCTTAATAGCTAAGAATAGATTGCTTATCCATTTCGATAAACAACATAGTGATACCGAAAGCACAAGAGGTAACATACCTGGGAGTACACCTCGACAGAGGTCAATCAAAGATCCTCAGAACTATCACCGGGGCACCGCGGTATGTACGCAACGAAAACATTCAACGAGATTTGAACATCCCTCCAGTCAAAAATGCAATAGCCGAAATCAAGCGGAAATACTACGTCAAGCTTACATCGCACCCAAACCACCTAGCGAGAAGTCTGACGCATCTCAGCAGTCAATCCCGTCTCCGCCGCAATGACCTGCCCAGCGAACAAACTTTTTAGGGACGTCTCAGTTTTAAAAAAATTGTTGACAAACAATTTAAGATTTTAAAACTTATAAATAGTTATCAAATTAAAAGAGAATATAAAATAAATAACCGCACATTATAAATAAAAAGAGTAAAAAATAGGTAAACGGAGATCAAAAATCATATATGAGTATGCTTTCAGCCTATAAAAATAATTAAAAATATTTGCAAAAAAAACATATAACTTATACTTGGAATTCAACTTCTATTCTTTGGAAAAACGCACTGTGGACGGATTTGCTTATGGAAAAAATGCGAAGCAATTATGCTGGCGTTGAATATAGTGACGGAGGTTTTGACTAGAACGCGATGTATGGCCAAATGGATATATGAGCTGAGGTTTTATATATTATATTGCGGCACACAAAATGGAATTGGAAATGAAAATATATTTTAATTGTCGTGTGTGTTTCATACAGAAAGTGCGATTGGTACACGGAATTTTCGTAATTATCTTGTTAGAAAATCGTTAGATTTTCCTGCTGGAAGGAAAATAAAGGAATAACGGTAGACTTATTGTGTTATTGTCTATTGTAAAGTATTGTTCCAACAGTAAAACAACAACAGTAAAAACCCTAGTCATTATTCAAAATATTTATTGATTTGTAAAATGTCAAAAAAAAAGAACTGGATAAGCGGTATCGAATGGTATTCTTACCATCTTTAAGAAGTGGAAAGCAATAGGATACCGGTTATGATGTCATAATTTTTTTAATATGGTATTTGCAATAACCAGTCGTATTTTGGTTGGTAAAGTAGAAGGCGTAGAGATACCCTGCAGTTTCACAATTTATCGCTACTGAAAAACATCACAAAATCATCAGCAACGCCAGCAGAGCCAGCTGCTTCGGCTGCAAAGTTCACGCTCTCCCGACTCTCTCGCGCGCGATCTCTCTCCTAATTATTTAAAGCGATGAAAATGCAATGATAATGTGCTTAATCAAAATGATGGATATGCGATAATTTTTGAAGCTGGTTCATCGCTCTTTCATATCTAGCCGACTGCTGGGCCGACGCTCTCAGTCAGTCAAATTTAAAGAAACTTTAAATTTGTGACTTTCAAAGACAACTATGTACATACATATGTAGGTAAAAGGGACGGTGACAAGCAAAAGGAAAATAACAACAGGATAGCGAAATAGATTAACGGATTTCTTTTCTAAAAGGCACGTGCCCTTTTTCGCGGACCTACTTGCGTTTGATTTTTGTGAGAAGCAGACGCCATTTTTATAAAGAGCCAATTTCGAAGAAAATGGAATATAAATTATTGTAAATTAAATTTTTAAATATTTTCGAATTTAATTCATGAGTTATTTCAGTAATGCCTAAATTTTATAAGCAACAAGAAATACAACTCACAATACTAATATTTTTAATAAGCTGGTCCCAACTCCGTAGGACAACAAGACGCAGTTAACTTCGAAATTGTATGCTTGCATTTAAATCCTATGCATGATTTATGTAATAAGTAAAATGTAAAAAAAAAAAAAAATTTCAAGTAACAATACAAAGATTATGAAATAACTTTGAAGATTCATTATGGAAAGTCGATGAAAATAGGTCATAAGAACCCAAAAAAAGCGATGCAAATTTTACTCTCTTCAAAAATGAGTTGGCGAATTAAGTGATTAAAATGTACATATGTAGTTATAGAGCGATGTATCGGGTGATGACTTGAAAGTTAAAATGCGCAAAAACAGCGGTAATTGATTAATAGCGATGATTTTGCGCTGCTTTAGCGGGGTTCTTGTGATGTTTTTCTTACCGATGTTTTTCTAGGACATGTCAAAAAAAGCGTTAGTTTTCATACAAATTGAGCGCTGGTTGAGCGCTCGAGATTTATAGTACATACGTACATGCATATGTATGTAGATTCATTTTTACTTGCAGATCTATAACATAAACGGAGGGTTTAATATTTATTATATTTATTTATTTTATAGGACTATAGGAATTACATGTAGTGCTGGTTTTTGTATTAAACAGACCGCGATTTTACAATGGGTCCATCCCGAACACACTGCCATCTGAAAAAAAATTAATCATATATATATCAATTAAAACAAATCAGTAAGGTTTGCAGTATTCCACGAGTAATCTTAACTTAATTTTATATGCTCTGAAACTGGTAGCATAAATTGCTCAAATAGAGCTTGTATGCAAGCAAGGCGTCTTTTTTTTATATGTAATTTATTTTAACGGGTTAATGAAACAATTTACAAAATAAAAAAAACCAAGCAACATATCGGAAGAAATCATAACTAATTCGCATCATAACCTAAACCTAAACCTAAAGATCAACGGGCTGTAGCTTAATATACGCGCACATACAATTTCAAAGTTTCAACTTTAAAATCATTCTTTATAAAATGTTGATCAAACAAAGACCTGATAAATGACTTTTAATTTTAGTTTTTTCCTTTTTTTTTACTGGTTGTTTGTAAACAAAGAACCGCTGACGTAACGCATTCATACCTCGAACATCGTGGCTGAGTATTACCAGTAAAAAAAGTATTACCAGTAAAACAAACATTTTTTTCCTGATCAACTAGCGGGTTGTTATATATGTACATATGTCTATGTATGTTTCCAGTTTCGGGGACATCTCCTAGTGCTTTCTTTCAATAGGATGTTTCAAATTTTGAGGTTATGACTTCCTGTCATGTCAAAATCGAAAAGCTTTCAATTGAAAGCTTAATTAAGCTTAAATATTTCTCTTCCCCTTCTCTTCCTTTTATGCTTGCATGAAGCATATTTAAATATTTTGATTTAATGGACTAGACAGATGGTTTGTGTTTTGCTTTATAAATTCTTTTAAAAACAAGTATATTTAGTGGTTGGCGTATATAGTAACGGAGTTTTTGACTAAAACATGTGGGACTTAGAATGTGATGTATGGCCAAATGTATACGGATGTATGTACGTAATGTTTGGTCTGAGGCTTAAACGGTACACTAAATTTATTGAAATGAAAATAAATTTTAATTGCATTATGTGGCGGATAAATCTGTATTAGATTTCACAGTAATTTATACAGAATGTTTACCGAAATTTTATTTTCACTCCACGATTGGTGCACGGAACGTACATATGTAATTATCTTGTTAGAAAATCGTTAGAAAAATTCGACTGGAAAATAATTAAATAAAGAAAAATTAATCTTTAACTTTTTGACTTGCCGGAGCTATGACGGGAAAAAATAATATTATGACTCGAAAAATTAGTGGAAATACCCTGTTATTAGAAAACTGTTGCACTTGCACTTTTAAAATTTGGTTGATTTCT